TACAGAACATTTTTATCTTGATATGATCCCATTTGTCCAAACTGCTTTGGTTGCCTGTGCTTTTCAGGTCTTACTCAAGAAATCTTTGCATAGACCGATGTCCTAAAGCCTTTCCCCAATGTTTTCTTCTAGTAGTTTCATAGTTTCAGGTCTCACATTTAAGTCTTTAACCCCTATTAATTTGATTTTTGTAAATGGTGTGAGATGGGGGTCTAGTTTCATTCTTTACAATTAAAATTTGAAGTCAAATCAGATAAAAATCTTAATAGAAAGGTTGTAATTTTTAGAATACGGAATAACACAAAATAAGACTCTAAAAATATGATTTACAGATGTAGTTTTGGAGATGATGTTCTAATCTAGGTAATGTCTCCAGAACTCTGTAAAATTTTCACACAAAGTAGTTAGAAATAATTAGAAGCAACATGAACTTTTATTTGGGTATGGTGCAATCCTTTATTTTAATATCTGCATTTTAGTTAATTCAAGTATCTGCATTTGGTTCATTAAGCAATTATGTAATTGAAATTATTTGTTCCGCTCTGCTGAATCAAAAAAAGTTACCTGACCACCTGATCAAATCCTCATTTTATTTTGAAGCAAATAAAAAATGTCATGGCCTATAGTTTAACAGTTCTTGCAGTAAACAACAAAGACATATGTTGGGTTGACAATTTAAAATCACCAAAAGCAGATTATGGCCATTCACAGCAAATTAACAACAATTATGAACTTCCAAAGGAAATTTGCTGTACTCTGGAGTTAAAGCAGTTGTCTCCTAAATAAAACCAAACTCCAATTCAGTTATACAACTTGAGCATAGTCATATTTTTTTAATAATCTTTGCCTGAGTCCCAAGTCAAAAACTATAAAAAGCTACACCAGAAGAATTATGCCAATCCCGGCACCCTTCACCCGTTTCATCCCTGGCTCTTATAGGCAAAAATTTTCCCCCAAAGTTTCTTTTTCATCCTCTAGTATTTCTTCATGTAAAAACTATAATAGGTAAATACATATTGTCATTTCCCCTGGTCTCTTAAGCAAAAAAAAAAAAAAAACAAACAAACCAACTTGCTCACAGAATGCCCTGCCACCTTTCTGAAATGAATCTTTCTCAGTTTAATTCTGATCTGTATTTTTCTTATTATGAGTAAGGAAAGGTTGTTATTATATATTTAAAGACCTTAAATTAAAAAGCACAGCAGAGTTTGCAGACAGCCCAGAGTGGGAGAAAATCTTCACAATCCACACATCCGAAAATGGACTAATATCCAGAATCTACAAAGAACTCAAATCAGCAAGAAAAAAAATCCCATCAAAAAGTGGGCTAAGGACATGAATTAGACAATTCTCAAAAGATCTACAAATGGCCAACAAGCATTTGGAAAAATGTTCAACATCACTAATGATCAGAGAAATGCAAATCGAAACCACAATGCAATACCACCTAACTCCTACAAGAATAGGCATAATTTTTTAAAAATGAAAATATAATAGATGTTGGCATGGATGTGGTGAAAAGGTAACACTTTTCCACAGTTGGTGAGAATGTAAACTAGTACAACCACTATGGAAAACAATGTGGAGATCCTAAAAGTAGATCTACCATTTGATGCAGCAATCCCACTACTAGGTATCTGCCCAGAGGGGGAAAAAAAAAGTCATTACATGAAAAAGATACTTGCACACGCCTGTTTATAGCAGAACAATATGCAATTGCAAAAATATGGAATCAGCCAATATGCCCTATATATACCATGGAATAGGAATACTACTCAGCCATAAAAAGGAATGAAATAATGTTATTTGCACAACCTGAATGGAATTGAAGACTATTATTCTAAGTGAAGTAACTCAGGAATGGAAAACCAAACATATGTTCTCACTTATATGTGGGAGATAACCTATGAGGATGCAAAGGCTTAAGAATGATACATTGGACTTTGGGGACTCAGGGGAAAGGGCAAGGGGTGGCAAGGGATCAAAGACCACACATTGGGTACAGGGTACACTGTTCAGGTGATGGGTGCACCAAAATCTCAGAAATCACCACTAAATAACTTACTGATGTAACCAAACACCATCTGTTCCCAAAAAACCTACTGAAATTAAAACAAACAACTGATCGAAGGAGATGGTTTGGGTTTGGCTTGGTTTTTAACTAAAGCCTTGGTGCCCTCTAGTGGGAAGATGGAGCAGCCCGGCATCCATAGTGTGTGCTCTTCAGAGCTGGGTGTCACTTTGGAATCAAGATTCTTAGGAGGCCAAGGCGGGCAGATTACCTGAGGTCAGGAGTTCATAGCCAGCCTGGCCAACATGGTGAAACCCCGTCTCTACTAAAAATATAAAAATTAGCCGGGTGTGGTGGCATGCACCTGTAATCCCAGCTACCCAGGAGGCTGAGGCAGGAGAATCGCTGGAACTCGGGAGGCAGAGGCTGCAGTGAGCCAAGATCATGCCACTGCACTCCAGCCTGGGTGACAGAGCAAGACTCCATCTCAAAAAGATTATTCCTGTTTCCTTTTATATTTGGGGGCAGGATGTTTTCTTTTGTTTGTTTTTGTTTTGTTTTGTTTTTAAGTGTTTCTTATCTCCTCTGCTTGAAGGTCATATCCTTTTTATCTCCTTAAGCAAAGCCAGGAGCTCTGCAGAACCCCAGGAGTGAGAACAATTATGCTTAAGACACTTTTGTTTTAGTTTAGTCCCAGACCCAGAGGAAAATCCTTCAAATTTCTTAAGTAAATCCTTAAAAGTGTAATTTACACTGGAGCAACTGACCTGGCATTTAAATAAACTGCAGCATGAGAAAAAAAAAAAAAAAGAGCATTATTATTTTTTTCTTTTTTCGGTGAACATTTTGTTTACATGTTTTGCAGGAAATGTACTTTTTGGTTTGTATGCATGAGATGCCGTAACAGTAACACACTTCCACGGCTTTCTCATGTCCAATCCATGTGCAATGCAACTGCAAGGAACAATCCAAGATTTTTTTACCTTCTCATCACAACCACCCTCTTCCCCAAGGTTGGAACTCCAGTTTGTTTAATTACTTCTCCCACATTCCATGAGCTAGTGGGTAACATGGACTGCTAGTCCAAACACCCATTTACCCTAGATAAGTTAAATGAAAGACATTATCATCCTTGTCTTTCTCTTATCAGTGTTCTCTGAAAGAAGTAGGTGATCAAGAAGACTATCTGCAGTGTCATGATTATTCAGCTTACTAAGTTCAAGATTTCTTGCTCTGCAGTCAAAGCTCATTTCAAAACTCTTTCACTGACAATTCCAAATGGCTGACAGGTAGAAAAGGTGATGGCAGCAGTGGCCATAGTGGCCCTGAGTAAGCTGGCATAGTCAGGTTGCCAGCATAGTTCTGATAGAGCAGTTAGGAAGAAATTATTTAGGCAGATAGTGAGTCCTCGGCAAGGTTTTCCTTTTAATGAAAAGCAGCCCCCAAATCATTTTATTTTCTAACAAAGAACAGCCTGTAAAATCGAGCTGCAGACATAGGCAAGAAAGCTAGAAGCTTGCATAGGTAAATGCTGGCACTGTCCTAGCAGGAAAAGGCTACCTGGGACCCGGCATGTTCAAAACAGCAGCTCCATCTTCCCTTCTTTCCAGCCCACGTGTACAGCGAGAAGCAGACAACATGACAGCAGCCAAGTGGAAAGTCCATTTGCATAATAGGGTGGAGTGGTCAGCCTTCCCCATGCATTATGTAAAACATCACACCTGGTCCAACCAATGTGTGGGCCCTATGTAAATCAGACACCACCTCCTCAAGCCTATTTGTAAAATCCAGTGCACTCTGTAGCCAGTCCGAATTCCCATTCAGGGGCCCCTCTCTCTCACAAGAGAGAGAGAGCTGTTCTCCTTTCTTTCTTTTGTGTATTAAGCCTCTGCTCCCAAACCCACTCCTTTGTGTGTCAGAAAACAATCCATTCTGCATGAAGAATGGTAAGAGCAATTAGGAACATCATAGAACGGACCAATACCACAAATCCGTTTTGAAGGATACACAGGAATTTGTAAGGTGGTCAATGAAGCCAAGAATGTCCCAGGTAGGAATGATGTGTTGTGGTTCCTAATACCTGTTCTCCAATGAACTATGCATCTTTTTCTTCATCTTTTTCATCACTGTAGTTGTCATCATCAAAACAGCTGACATTTGTTGACAGCTCACTCTGTCTCAATATGATGGGCACTGCTGGCTGGGCTAAGTTAGCACCATACCCAAGCCACTTCTCCTTTGCTTCGTTACTAGAAAAGTAAACACTAGCTTTTCTAGCTTCCCTCACAGCCTAAGATGGCCACATGACAAAATCCTGACCAATGAGACAGAAACCAGTAAAATGTTCCAAGAAGGCTTTAGTGAGGATGAATGTGGTTGGCACCATCCTTCCTGCCTCTTTTGGCTTTAAATACAGATAAGAAGTCAGAAAAATGAACTCCTACTATTTAGGGCCCTGTGAGCCTGGTATGATACTACTTAAAGCCAAACCAGTCCTATGTAATAAAGCCAGGCGTGGTGTAAGCACTTTACAAGTATTAACTAGAATTATTTGGGTTCTATGGATAATTACAGAGACCACTGGCACAATCTTATCAAACCAGTGATAAATTGTATTTTATCTGCTATAGGATTCTACTAACGTTCCAATGGTCTAACACTGACTCAGTCTTGACAAGCTTTTAAACAAAACTAATGACAAGAAACAGAATAATTAACTCACAGCCTTTATTCTTCATCCTATGAAGAAAACCATACTACCTCAGAAGAAATTCTGGAATATACTGTGAAATAAGTAGAAGATATGTCAGGAAAGACTGGCTGATTAAACGCTCATGTAGTTGAGCATAAAAATGGGAGAACCTAGACTGTTTTAATAATCAAAAAAGCACAAATTACCATTTCCTTTTTGGTATGAATATTGAAGATCCAAAGTCAGAAACAGTGATATTAGTGGGGTAAATGTTTTTAAAAACGAATTCAAACAAACCTTTTGATTTTCCTGTATTTCTTCTCTCATATGTTGATTTACAGCAATTCTGGTTAGAGATCTGGAAAAATGAATACTAATATAATTGATCCTTCTTTAAATGTTTAGACCTTATCTATATAATTCAATGTAATCTAATACTCTGGATAGGGAGCTAAAAACTCCAAATGCTTGGTGACTGAAAAGTGTACATTTCCATATGGTCTAATTTAGCTATCATTTGACAAAAGGATTTGGTTCAAGTGGAACGGAGGCTCTCAAAATTTCCTGTGTACTAGCTGTATGCAGTATGGATTGTCATCATTTACTACGACTTATTTTTTGAGTGAAAAAGCTGCTTTGTGTTGTTTTGTCCAATAGAGAAATTTTTCATGAAATTACCAATGTATATGTACATGAATATATGTACATGAAGAATTTTAGTTACCTGGGATCTTACCAGAGTAGAAATGTTCTAAAAAAACTGAAATCATGGCTTTACATTATTCACTCTTTTCAGTTTTTTCAACTTTTTTATTAAAAAAAATTTTTTAGAGACAGAGTCTCACTCTTCTACCCAGGCAGGACTGCATTGGCATGATCACAGCTCACTGCAGCCTCGGATTCCTGGGCTCAGGTGATTCTCCGCCTCAGCCTCTCAACTGGCTAGGACAATAGGTACACACCACCACACCCAGCTATTTTTAAATTTTCTTCTAGAGATGGAGTCTTGCTATGTTGCCCAGGTTGGTTTAAAACTCCTGGCCTCAAGTGAACCTCCTACTGCAACCTCCCAAAAGTGCTGAAATTAGAGATGCAAGTCATTGCACCCAGCCTATTCACTCTTGAAGAGTTTATAAATTCACTTATAAAGACAGCAGAAATGTTTAAAATACAGTTCCTATGGACTGTATTCAACTTGATAATTCCTAAACATGGCTAGCTATATATCTGTCAATTTTATAAACAGAATTAAAACATTAAAAGATTGTTAATGCAAAGTTCTGCTTTAAGGAAAACTCAAGTAGAAAGGTGTACCTTGAAACAGCCCACAGTAAGTATGTATTATTTCCTAAAGTTTGGCAGCACTGAGATAAATTACAATTAAAACTTTAATAAGGCAAATTTTTCATTTATTTAGCAAATATTTCATTTCAAAATACATTTACAGATTGTCTACCAAGTGGTTTTGGAGATATGCTCAAGCCTACAATTTAGCCATTATGCAACGTTAGCATATTTTACGATTTTTTCTTAATCACAGATTAACAGCAGAGTTTTGCATCAGAACCTCTGAACAGTTAAACTGACTTAACAACAGAGCTAATCAACTGTCTGATCAAGACTAAAGTTATTTTACTTTATTTGTATTTGATCTAATAATTTTTATAATGACCATTAATTAAAAGTATTATGGCTAAACATATATGACATTTATACACACCCATATATATTTCATGTTTTATTGTATCAATGCTGACTTCTCAAATTCCTGACTGTTTAAAGTTGACTGAAAGAGACATATCAATATATTCATTCTTAATCTGTAAATAAGGAGACAAACTCCTCTATTTCAAGGTACCACCAAAAAATTATTGGTATCTTGTAACCGACCAGGTACTATTTATTTACTTGCAAAATTAAAGAATACATATATTGAAGATTCTGTAATTTGTACTATGAATAAATGTACAAAATAGTGTTTGAGACAATAAAAGGCATAGCAATCATTCTATGCTTAGGAAGGTATGCTAAGCTAGTAGACTACTCTCCAGTTCCTTTCAATAAAACACTGTTGTTGCACATGCACTGTGACTTGTCACATATTTTATCTCTTTAGTATAAGCTAACTCATATTTTACTTGTTGCTCATTTTATACTCTGTCATTCCTAACCAGAATACAATTGCATCAAAGTTGTGTTTTATAGCAAATTCTCATAATACACTGTAACTTGCATTGCATGCACTGGTCTCTTTAAGCTATACAAATGTATTTCCTATTGAAATGGAATATGTGTTTAACGTAACATCAGTATTCATGGAAGCAGTTCAACTAGACATCCTCTTGGCAAAAAAGTACTCCACACAATATTCCATGCAATTAAGACATTACCAATCATTTGGACTCTGAAAGGGTAAGAATATGATTTGGCAGTACTTTGGGCATAGATCTCCTACTTACAATAATACTTTTCATCATCCTCCATAAGGGGGAAAAAAAAACACTCCTTCATTATTTATTGCTTAAACAAGTTTTTCCTTAGATTACTATGTATGATTTCCAAAAAATTTTTAGGAATTTTTTTCCTATTTGCCTCTAACAAGAGTTCTACTTTACAGTGCATACACAGATGCATGCACAAGTCAGTATTTTGCTCTAATCAAAAAAAAAAAAAAAAAACATAATGAAAAGAGGCCCTGATTTCACAAAAGCTATATATACTAGAATTAACTGACACCTTCATCTTAAATGAAATCAGCTATTTTCATAAAACTTATTTAATAGAAAGAGTTCTGGCTACAATGAAACCAATGAACTTCAACATACCTGGCTTTTATAGGGAAGTTCTGTGAAATGTCTTTCATTAATTTAATGGCATCATAAACTGGAGTGGACATTATTTGAGAAGCTGCTTGAAAACTAAGATCTGGAAGGAAAAATATTATTAAGGAATCTAGCATAATATTAGACCTTTATAGACATTTCCATGAAATTGAAGTAATTGACTTAATTCTTCTTGCCAAATATTAGTATACAAACATGTTAAAACTGTTACATCTGCATTTTTAAGAAGTTTTAAATGTAAAGTTATCACTTATTTCCAAATAATATAAGCTTTATACTTTTATGAATGATTAATACCTATTATTTTCACAAATTACAGTATAATTTCAAGAGAGAGATATATGAAGAGAAATGCTCTCGCAAAGCTTTTTCTATACTTAAAAGAAACATATGACAAAAAGTCAAAAGAATAACGAAGAGGAATAAAAAGAGCTTTAAAGAGCCAATTCTGAAAAGACCTTTAAGAAAGCCTGACTGTGTTTAACTCAGTAAACAGAAACATTCACTTTCTCTCTCAACATTGTTTTACCTTTATGCTGAAATAAAATCCTAAACTTAGTATTATTTTATCTGATGTAACAGTCTTATAGAAAGAAAAATGTGTATTGCTGCGGTTAGTTTCAAATATGTCAGAAGAATTAATCTTAGTATTATTACTTTGTCAAGAGTCAGAAAAGACTTAAAACTAAATTCTTTCATTACCTAATAGTGAGGCAGATTGTTTCTCCTTAATATTTCACTAAAGGTGGAATCCTAGTTTACCAAATACTACTAAAATAACTAGTTTAACACAGAAAGGCTAGTTTTATTCCTGAGTTCTCAGCGTGAAATGACGAGTCAAAGTCTACAGAGGAATGATCCTAAGGTATCCTCACATGGAATGGTAGAGTCTCACAGACCAGATGATATGGTTTGGCTACGTACTCACCCAAATCTCATCTTGAAGTGTAGCTCCCATAATTCCTATGTGTTGCGGGAGGGATCCAGTGGGAGATAAATGAATCATGGGGGCAGTTCCCCAATACTGTTCTCATGGTAGTGAATAAGTCTCACAAGATCTGATGGTTTTATAAGGGGTTTCCCTTTTCACTTAGCTGTCATTCTGTCTTGCCTACCACCATGTAAGATGTGCCTTTTGCCTTCTTTTGTAAAGTCTCCCCAGCCACACAGAACTGTGAGTCTTAAACTGTAGAACTGTACAGTAACTTGGTATCAGTAGATACCTGAAAATGTGGAAGCGACTTTGGAACTGGGTAACAGGCAGAGGTTAGAACAGTTTGGAGGGCTCAGAAGAAGACAGGAAAATGTAGGAAAGTTTGGAACTTCCTAGAGACCTTTGAACGGCTTTGACCAAAATGATCATAATGATATGGACAATGAAATCCATGCTGAGGTGGTCTCAGACGGAGATAAGGAACTTGTTGGGAACTGGAGTAAAGGTGACTCATGCCATGTTTTAGCAAAGAAACTGGCGGCATTTTGCCCCTGCCCTAGAGATCTGTTTTGAACTTGAGGGAAATGATTTACAGTATCTGGCAAAATAAATTTCTATGCAGCAAAGCATTCAAGAGGTGACATGGGTGCTGTTAAAAGTATTCAGCTTTAAAAGGGAAACAGAACATAAAAGTTCAGAAAATTTGCAACCTGCCAATGCCATAGAAAAGACAAACCCATTTTCTGAGGAGAAATTCAACCCAGCTGCAAAAATTTGCATAGATAATGAGAAGCCAAATGTTAATCACAAAGACACTGGGGAAAGTGTCTCCAGGGCATGTCAGAGACCTTCACATCAGTCCCTCCCATTAAAGGCCTGGAGGCCTAGGAGAAAAAAATCAATTCGTGGACTGGTCCAAGGTGCCTCCTGCTGTGTGCAACCTAAGGACTTGGTGTCCTGCATCCCAGCTGCTCTAGCCATGTCTAAAAGGGGCCAAGGTACAGCTTGGGCTGTGGCTTCAGAGGGTGCAAGCTCCAAGCCTTGGTAGCTTCCACGTGGTGTTGAGCCTGTGGAAGTACAGAAATCAAGAATTGGGGTTTGGGAACATCTGCCTAGATGTCAGAGGATGTATGGAAATGTCTGGATGTCCAGACAAAAGTTTGCTACAGGGGTGGGGCCCTCATGGAGAACCTCTGCTAAGGCAGTGAGGAAGGTATATGTGGGGTTAGAGCACCCACACAGGGTCCCCACTAGGGCACTGCTTAGTGGAACTGTGAGAAGAGGGCCACCATCCTCCAGATCCCAGAATGACAGATCCACTGACAGCTTGCACCCTGTGCCTGGAAAAGCCACAGATACTCAATGCCAGCCTGTCAAAACAGCTAGGAGAGAGGTTGTACCCTGCAAAGCCATGGGACAGAGCTGCCCAAGACCACGGGAACCTACCTCTTGCATCAGCATGACCTAGATGTGAGGCATGGAATCAAAGGAGATCATTTAGGAGCTTTAAGATTTGACTGCCCTGCTGGATTTCAGACTTGCACGGGGCTGTTAGCCCTTAAATTTTGGCCAATTTCTCCCATCTGGAATGGGAGATAAATGGCTATATTTATCCAATGCCTGTACCCCCAGTGCATCTAAGAAGTAACTAACTTGCTTATACAGGCTCATAGGTGGAAGGGACTTGCCTTGTCTCAGATGAGACTTTGGACTGTGGAGTTTTGAGTTAATGCTGAAATGATTTTAGACTTTGGGTGACTGTAGGGAAAGCATGATTGGTTTTGAAATGTGAGGACATGAGATTTGGGAGGGACCAGGGGCAGAATGATGTGGTATGGCTGTGTCTTCATCCAAGTCTCATCTTAAATTGTGGCTCCCATAATTCCCACATGTTGTGGGACAGACCCAGTCAGCGGGAGATAACTGAATCATGGGTCGGAGGGGGCAGTTTCCCCAATACTGTTCTCATGATAGTGAATAAGTCTCACAAGATCTGATGGTTTTATAGAGGGTCTCCCTTTTCACTTGGCTCTCATTCTCTCTTGCCTGCTGCCATGTAAGGCATGCCTTTCGCCTTCTGCCATGATTGTTATGCCTCCCCGGCCATGTGGAACTGTGAGTACATTAAACTTCTTTATCTTTATAAATTACCAGTCTTGAGTATATCTTTATTAGCAGTGTGAAAACGGACCAACACTCCAGGCTTCAAATTCTAGTTCTATCAAAAACTAGCTGAGTAACTTCAAACAGAATATCCTCAACCTGAACATGTTTCCAGTCCCCAGTACTGCAGTGAAACTACTGTCAGTGCTCACTAATATCTCGATTGCCAAACACAATGACATTTTTAGTACTTACCTTACCTACTAGGTTCTTTTTGCAATAGGATCATTTCATGCAAATAAAAAGTACTGGTCATTTTCTCTTTCTTAAGAATCTATTTCCTTCAGCTTGTATAATGTGCTCTCCATTTCTCATCATTCCATCATGTCTTCCTTAGGAGTTTTACTTTCTACATGTGGATGAACACTAGGGCACTCTCCCTGTTGCACTGATTTTGCTAAGATTTTCAACTTTTGAAATCCTCTCTGTTTAGCTTAAGGACAGGATACTCACCCCACCACTGAACCTAACCATTTAGATATCTTACAATGACTTTAAATCAACCTTTCAACACTAGTCTCATTATTTCTGAGTCCCATATTCAGCCCCAAAGCCAGGTTACATGTTTTATATATTCTCTCTACTCAGGCTCAAGCTAGAAATCCTAGAATTACCTTTGACTCCTTTTCCCCTTCTAAATACCTATATGTCTTCTACCACTACTTCAGCAATGTCTACCTAGATTTCTTGCTTTCAGTACATTCAAATACATCTTACACAGACATTAGGGAGTCAACTAGAAGTAAGCTGACTATGCATACTCTGCTTAAAGGCCTTCAAAAACACCCCATCACTTACAATCTTCTAAATTAAGCAAGGGCCCCTTAGAGAACATTTTGAAGGAGACTTAAAACATAATAATTTTTTTAAAGTGCTAAAATAGAGACATTAAAAAAAACTAAAAATAATTGAGGATACTAGAAAGAGACTATCTGAAATTATGGATTTGGGAATATAAGCTCTATTGGAACTTAGAGAAGAGCTTTACAAACCATGCTAAGGGGTTTAAACTTAATACTTCTAATGGATGTGCATGAAATCAGTCCTTAATAATGCAAATGACTTGGCTAGCTAGTCCTATCAACCCCTTCTTACATTCAAGTCTCTCCAGAAGTATTTGCCTTGGAAAAACAGAACTTTCTCAGATAAGAGGACTGCATACTTTGTTTGCCCTCCGCATCTATTCTTTCCTGCTCCGGGCCCCCAAAAGGCTGGCTTACCTGAACTACATCAATAAGCTCCCTTGCCCTCGGATTTCTAGTTAGATTCAGTTAATCCAAGTCACTAATATGGGATCAGTAAGCAAGAAAAGAATAAGGATTGGATAGTTACTACCCAGATCCCTCCTTCTTGAGTCACAGAAGGCAGTCCCTTGGGGGACTACTGCTGTGTCAAGCAGCTATCTCCACACACTCTCCAGGTTTTGGTAACCACTCCCTCCTCTTGCTCCCTCAAGATTAGGGGTAGAAAATGTTTCCCTCTAGTTGCTAATACTGGAATAGAAGAATCCATTCCTTGTTGGTTTCCCTCAATCAGGCCTGTCTCTGTAAAAAGTCCCTTTATTAAACTTTTTTAGTTTGTGTGTGCCAACATTTTCCTGTGGGGACTAATGTAAGACCATTATTCGATCAGGGATGTACAAGTGATAAAGGCTGGCTGATTTGACACAACGCCAAAATCAGATTTTCATTTTAGAAAGATTATCTCAGTAACCTTATTGAGAATGAATTTGAACCTACTGCCTCAGTTTAGTGTTATCATGATGTCAAGTGGAAGAACAGTCACAAGGGCTGTGGTATAATAAAAGGAGGTCCAAGCATGAGGTCTAGATGAGACATTAAACAGGAAACTGTACACCAGAAGGGTCCAGGGAGAATAGATTCTATCAGTTCAAAAAGGTAGATTCTTTACAGTAAATCTATCATAACAATGGTCTTGAATCTCATTCTGCTGAATGATTTTTTCCATTGATATATTGATTTTCTAATGGTATAGGGCTTAGTTGACAGAACATTTGTATTAGGTAGGTAAAGAATAGCAGAAGTTATAAAACTTAATAGATTGGGTCTTGCACATTCTGCTATAATTTTAAAATGTAATATTCAATATTCTGTTAAGTGTATATAAAGTTTACCTAGATACCATATGGTACAGTATAAAGAATTTAACTTGGACCAAAATCTTCACTTATTAGCTGTGTGGTAACTGGCACTTAAATAAGATAGTTTATATGAAAGGACCCTGTAAACTATAATCCAGATGAAATATAAAATATTATTTGTATGTTATAAGTAAGTTATACTGGTGAGAGTGGCCTGTAAATATCCTTTTAGCTGTTATTTTAAAAACAGAAAGTAGATTGGTGGTTGCCTACAACTGAGGAGTTGGGAAATGAGGAGTGACCGCTAATGAGGATGTTAATTTCTTTTGGGGATGATGAGAATTTTCTAAAATCAACTGTGCTAAGAGTGGTGGCATTCTAAAAATATGCTAAAAACTATTGAATGGTAGAATTTAAAAGGGCAAATTCAATAGTATGTGAATGTATTAGTATGAATAGTATTATTTTAGTAATGTCATTATTTACATCACTATGTCCATAATCTATATCATCTGAAATATAAAAGCTTATTTAACAAAACAGCTTATTAAGCTGTTGTATTTTAAAAAGTTGATAAAAGATGATAAAAGTTAGATGATGCAGAAAAAAGACATGTCCCCATGACCTACTAAATCATTACAAATAAAGAAGAAAAATGACAAATTGAAAAGGACTTAAAAGTCCAAACCAAATCAAATTTTGTTCACAAAATATGTGCTTGTAGGTTTTCAGCACAGAAGTTGTTCCTAACTTTGTAAAACTGCATGTCCTCCATTTGATGTTTCCATTAAAAATTTATCAATTAAACATGCAATAGTCTTAAGAGGATCTAAATTTCAAAGAGAAGAAAACTAAGATTGAGTTTCATTTTCTCCTTACCTATGAGTTAGGATTTTTAATCAGTTATAGTCTCCAAAAATGTGATTTAATACTTCAGACTAACCTGTAAATCGGTATATACTTTTGAAATAACATCAAATAACCTCACTTCATATAATTTTAAGTCTTGCAAACATAGAAATATAGCTTGCTTGATAGATGATCTATTAAATAGGTATTGCCACAAAAAATCATAATTTATATTATTCACATCACTAGTCATTCATACTGTCCAAAAAATAATCTGTTTCATGTGATATATAAAAGCTTATTTAACAAAACAGATCAGTTAACAAAATGCTGTGTTAAAGTATCTCAAAACACTATACCTTGTAGTTCCCAGACTTTCAAAGGCGTCATTTGCTTGTTACTCTCAATCAAGTATTTTTGGAATGCTGTCAGATTATCTCTAAGATCTGAATATATTTCTCTGCATCAAAATATTAAATGATGTTAAATAGCATCACCTATCACAAACCATTATACAAACAGCATATTTTTGAAATAATTCCAAGTAATTAGACATAAAGGAATCATTCATCATTAAGATAATCATAAATTGTGATACAGCTATATTCATAGAACTTAAAAATAATGAGGAAGATATACAGGTCTCTTTTATTAAATATATGAAACAAAACAAAATCTGGAGAAACATATTCTCAATTGTTAGTGTCAACTGTAAGCGATGCAAGGATGAGGGCAGACTTACAGTTTCCTATTACATACTTTTTGTTTAACATTTTATAAATTGAAAGCCTTGCTTTTATAATTGAAAATAAAAACTACTTTATAAGGAAAGACAAAAATGCCTCATACAGAGTTTATTTCTGAAAAGTTCTATCTTTGATTCTTATAAAAAACTAAAATAAGATAATTTTACCCATTGTTAAACATCTCTAGGCATCTTTTAGAGAGAGATAAATAATGATATAGTAGAATGGTATTTTGCTGTACATACAATCTAAACTGTAATCTTCTTTCCTCTATCACTCATGAAATCAAGATATGGTGCCACTTCAGATTTAAATGGAGAGATACAATTAAAAAAAAACTTTACTGTCAGTACAACTTATAAAATACATTATTTTCCTTTTTTTTTAAATCATACTTTAAGTTCTGGGATACATGTGCAGAACGTGCAGGTTTGTTACATAGGTATACACGTGCCGTGGTGGTTTGCTGCACCCATCGACCCATCATCTACATTAGGTATTTCTCCTAATGCTATTCCTCCCCTAGCTTCCCACCGCCTGACAGGCCCCGGTGTGTGATGTTCCCCTCCATATGTCCATGTGTTCTCATTGTTCAACTCCCACTTTTAAGTGAGAACGTGTGGTGCTTGGTTTTTCTGTTCCTGTGTTAGTTTGCTGAGAATGATAGTTTCCAGCTTCATCCATGTCCCTGCAAAGGACATGAACTTATCCTTTTCTATGGACGCACAGTATTCTATGGTGTATATGTGCCACATTTTCTTTATCCAGTCTATCATTGATGGGCACTTGGGTTGGCTCGAAGTCTTTGCTATTGTGAATGCTGCTGCAATCAACATACATGTGCATGTGTTTTTATAGTAAAATGATTTATAATCCTTCGGGTATACACCAGTAATGGGATCACTGGGTCAAATGGTATTTCTGGTTCTAGATCCTTGAGGAATTGCCACACTGTCTTCCACAATGGTTGAACTAATTTACACTCCCACCAACAGTGTAAAAGCGTTCCTATTTCTCCACATCCTCTCCAGCATCTGTTGTTTCCTGACTTTTTAATGATTGCCATTCTAACTGGCATGAGATGGCGTCTCATTGAAAACAAATATTTTCAATATTCAATAGACAAGAAGACTTTGAAAAGTCAAATAAAAAATACAGAATATACATAAATATGGTAATCTTATAGTTATGAATAAATATATATAGTACAGTGTCAATATCTTACAGGTTTACTACAATGTGGGATCATGTTTTGAAAACAAATCAAAATTGCCAAGATAGTAAAAGTACAATGGCATTTCTTTCTTAAAGAAGTTCACTATGAATTAAACATTTCCTTTTTCAACATTTTAAGTTATAGGATTATAAGTTTATAAGAGCTACTATACCAATATTTAATCATCATCTTAGTAACTTTCACTGCTAAAATTCTTTATATAATTTAGGCAACACATGTATTACTCATAAAGTACCTCAAAGCAAAGGATTTTTGCTTTGAAATGAGCAATCACTGAGTCACTATGGAAGAACTATTTCCTTTTAAAAATGAATAGCCATATGAATTTTAGAATAGATTCTTCTAATTCTGTAAAAATGACATTAGTAGTTTGACAGGAACAGCATTGAATCTGTAGATTGGCAGTATGGCCATTTTAACGACATTCATTCTTCCAATCCATGAGCATGGAATGTTTTTCCATTTGTTTGTATCATCTATGATTTCTTTCAGCAGTGTTTTGTAGTTCTCCCTGTGGAGATGGTTCACCTCCTTGGTTAGATGTATTCTATATACTTTGTGTGTGTGTGTGGCTATTGTAAATGGGATTGCCTGCTTGATTTGGCTCTCACCTTGAACATTATTGGCTTTTACTAATGCTACTGATTTTTGTACACTGATTTTGTATCCTGAAACTTACAGAAGTTGTTTATCAGTTCTAGGAGCCTTATGGTGGTCTTTAGGGTTTCCTAGGCAAAAGATATGAACAGACACTTCCCACAAGAAAACATATAAGCAGCCAAGAAACATGAAAAAATGCTCAACATCACTAATCAGAGAAATGTAAGTCAAAACCACAATGAGATACCCTCTCACACCAGTCAGAATGGCTATTATCAAAAAGTCAAAAAGTAACAAATGCTGGCAAGGCTGAAGAGAAAAGGGAATGCTTATACACTGTTGGTGGGAATGTAAATTAGATCAGCCACTGTGAAAAGCAGTTTGTAGATTTCTCAAAGAATTTCAAACTACCACCCAACCCAGTAATCTCATTACTGGGTATGCACCCAAAGGAAAATAAATCATTCTGACGAAAAGACACATGCACTCATATGTTCATCATAGCATTTATTCACAATAACAAAGACATGGAATCAACCCAGATGCCATCAATGGCAAATTGGATAAAGACAACGTGATACATATACCACCATGGAAAATCCTGCCCTTTGCAGCAACATGAATGCAGCTGTAGGCCATTATCCTAAGTGCATTAACACAGGAACAGAAAAACAAATACCCAATGTTCTCACTTATAAGTGAGAACTAAGCATTGGGTATACATGGACATAAAGATGGGAATAATAGACACTGGGGACTATTAGAGTGGGAAGATGGCAAGGGCATAGTACCCGTTGGGTACTATGCTCACTACCTGGGTGATGGGATCATTCATAACCCTAACCTCAGCATCACATAACATATCCATGTAACAAACTTGCACGTGTACGCCTTGAGTCTAAAATAGAAGTTGAAATAAAATAAAATACAAATAAAAATAGCCCAGTGTTCCACGTGATCTTTTGGAGAAAATGCAATTTAATCCCATAAAAAGTTATATTCAAAAGAGAAAAGAACTATAAATTCCAAGATGTTGAGATAGCTGAAAATGGGATAAAAATGTATTGTTTGCTGCTAAATAAATATCTTACTTAGAATAAACCCATTTTATAAGACGTATTAACATTTTAAGGCCACTAGTATACTGCTTGGCCAACATACTTTAAAAATGTAACACAGTTATCCATATAAATTAGCATAGTCTCCAAAAATCTTACCCTTACTGTATATAGTTATCTACTCATCACCAGGAGAACTAACCTGAAAGTCCTTCATAAATGACTGTAATACTAAACAAGAACTAAAGGTATTAATAAAAATATGTCTTTAATTAATTTTGCCTGGATAAAGAAATCATAAACTTTCACTTGTAAATAAGTGAAAATGTACATGAAATTACAGCCATCCCCATTTACAAGTATTCAGAGAGCACTCACCATCCTATTCCTTGTCTTCAATCAGCGTGGCAGGAAAAAAAAGGGGGGGGTATAACTTTAATTTTTGAAAGGTTACTTACATGTGTATATGAAATGGTAATCTGTAGTACAGAAATTTCAACTAATAAATGTTTTCTCTTCTTTTGGGCTATATATTTGTTCAAGCTAAAGACCCAATATTATCAATGATTTTCATAACCCATTAGATCAGTAAAGTTCTAGATTCTATAAAGTTTTTAGTTTTCTGTCAGAACTTTATCAACTCCTGTTTCTCTAAGCACACTAAGTCAAATGTATCATATGAAAAGTGATTTTAAATATCTCATACTTTATGAATGTCAGATGTATTAAAACTGCCTTAAAAATAAAGCAATAAAGAGAAATATTCACCACAGCTTGCCAAGTTAATTTATTAAAAAACAGTAAAAATAACACTGAGTTTAAAAATAGTATATATTAGCTAACATTATTACTACAATATTTATTTTAAAAAATAATAATTTACTTAATTTTTTTCCTCAAAAGAAATTCAATTTAGGCAATATTTTTTTCTTGGCAGCATTTTGTGAAACTATTTTAACAAATAATAACTTTATAATTTTCATTTATTTTATTCATGTTTAACAAACACATTAATGTTTATTATATGCCATGAATTGTTAAAACTACTTTATTACTAAATTACATTATTTATTCTCTCCAAATTTAGAAACTTCCTAAATAAGTATGTACTATACCAATTATTTACTTGACTTTCATGGCAGCTGTGTTAGAATAAAGAAAATTACTACTTTCAAATATGGGAAATCATAATTTGGATGGTGATAGCACCATATAGTGTAAATGAAGAACACGATCAAAAAATGCTACAAGGCTAATAAATATTTAACAATTTGTTTTTTGCCTTATGTTTGTTGTTTCATGTCTTTGAGGTTTAGCCATTCTATAAAATGAACTTTATTTATGGGACAAATAACTTATTCTGGGTAAAAGGAGAAAAACATGCATATTTAACAGTGACCAACCATAAGTATCGAAAGTCTTAAATTTCAAATTTTCTAGTTATCCCACAGACACTACCAGAGTTTCAGAAATAAAATCCCACTCTCAATGTAAACATAACAGTTTCATCTAATGAAAAATTTCCATTTTTAAGATTAATATGAAAGTAAACTTCAACAGTAAGTAATTCAATATATGGCAAAGGTTTTAGAATTTTTTATAGAGCTGTTATAATTAGTAAAAAAGATATAAACACAGCAGGAACAAATAAGCACAAGTCAAGAACAAGCAATTTTCCCAAGAAGAAATTCCAAAGCAAATAAACATGAAAAAAAGTTAATCCTTGCAGTAATAAACTGCCAATAGTTGACTTTCTTGGAGATGAATTATAAAACTGGTTCAGCCCAGTAAATTATATGCACCTTTTTTTAAAAAAAAAAAAAAAAAAGAAACACCATTTCACTTCTTAAACTGAAAAAAGATTTTTAAAAATAGTATGATTGGTTATTAAAGTTCTGGGAAATGAACACATTTCACATCCTCGGGTAAGTGTACATGTTAGTACAATTTTATGAGGGTAGTTTACATGTATGAATCAAAAATTTCAAGAAGTACATATAGTTTATCAACTATTTTCCTGAAATTTGTGCTAAGGAAAATCTGCAATGCACACAAACTGGTACACAAAAAAAATTAAATGAAAAAGTAGGGAAATAATTTAAAGTCCTGTTCTATGGGACTGTTTCAATAAATGATGAAATATCCACAAGATGTGAAAAAAACAGCTATACGCTATAGTTCTACTGTGCAAAACAATATGCTGTGTATGCGTTTGTTGCTATAAAAATATTCAGACTGGAAAAACATACTGTACATCAAAACATGATGAGTTATCTCTTTAGCTGTGAAATTAGTCATTATTTTTAAATGTGCTTTTTGCTTTCTGTAGCTTTTTGACATTAGCCATGTGTTACTTCTGTAATAAATAAAAACAATTGTGTGTGTGTGTGTGTTTGTACTTTCTACATAAAAGAAAGGTGAAACATATAGCAAAACAGTATATCAAATTAATTCCTTAAAAACAAATGGGTATAATAATACCAATTTTAATTTCCATTCAGACTTACTTTAGTTTCCCAAAGAGAAATCCTTGAATTTCATTTGCTTCAGTCTCATCCTCTACAGTAGTATTAGTCACAGCTACATTTTGGAAACAAAACCAAAATAAAACAAAAATATTTTCAGACTGGGAAAAGAACATGTAATGAAAAATTAGAAGAACTTGGCCTGGTGTGGCAGCTCACACCTGTAATCCCAGCACTCTGGGAGGCCGAGGTGGGCAAATCACTTCAGGTTACGAGTTCGAGGCCAGCCTGACCAACATGGTGAAACCTTGTCTCTACTAAAAATACAAAAATTAGCCAGGTGTGATGGCATGCACCTGCAGTCCCAACTACTTGGGAGACAGGAGAATGGCTTGAGCCCGGGAGGTGGAGGTTGCAGTGGACCGAGATCACATCACTGCACTCCAGTCTGGGTGAGAGTAAGACTCTGTCTCTTAAAAAAAAAAAAAAAAAAAAAAAAACTCACAATGAAATGAAATTCTATTTGTTTTACCTTCATGAACCAGATTAATACATATATATGCATATGTACAGGCTAACATTCCTGAGTGTGAGCTGTCTTTTTGAACATGCTTGATTAAATACTTAGCAACTATAATAAAGTGCTTTATAGATTAGTTAATAGTCAAGTTCTATTTTATAATCAGAAATAAGCCAAAAGGCCTGTAACAAATGCTGGGTTTAGCTTTTAAGTGAGGCAGGAGGTCCAAACTCTAAGTTTAAATATAAGTTCCTGCATATTTCCAACACCTTTGATCAAGGAATATTTAGAAAGACACCAAAACTCATGGACTCAAAGAATAAAGATATAATATTTTATAGTCATTTCCCTTTTCTCTTACATACCAAATAATTATACTGTACAGTCTGGTTGGTGGAATATGTGACAGGTACTTTAGGATTACAAGGACTGTGACCTCTTACAGTGTGTGGGGTGGCTCTCTATCAGAGTACCCTGGGTACTTTCATCTAGTCATCCTTTTCCTCTTGTTTGTTCATTCATTCATTGGGCAAACATTTATTGACTGCTATGAGGTGTCTATGACAGGATAGACACCAAGAACAACAGACACACAAAAGATACAGACCATGAACTTTTCTAAAAGAAGGCAAAGAAAGATACGGGATATAGAAAAAAGCAGCGCATTCTCTAACAGAGCGGCAAGATAGGCAGCCGTCTCAGAGGCACGGACTGATATATTTGAATCTTAAAAGATACGAAGCCTGGCCGGGTGTGGTGGCTCATGCCTGTAATCCCAGCACTTTGAGAGGCTGAGGTGGGTGAATCACAAGGTCAGGAGGTTAAAGACCAGCCTGGCCAACATGGTGAAAACCCCATCTCTACTAAAAATACAAAAATTAGCTGGGTGTGGTGGCAGGTGCCTGTAATCCCAGGTACTTGGGAGGCTGAGACAAGAGAATTGCTTCAATCCAGGAGGCAGAGGTTGCAGTGAGCTGAGATCGCACCACTGCACTCCAGCCTGGGCGACAGAGCAATGATTCCATCTTACGGAAAAAAAAGAAAAAGATGTGAAGTCTTTAGAGGAAATAAAAGAAGCGAAGACAGTGGTAGGCAGAAGGAATAGCATATGCTAAGGGATGAATGCAGGAGAGGTCGTAAAGACTTCTCATGGAGCCCATGCATAAAAACATCCAGGGAACAGAAAATTATTCTAAATAGTAAGTAGTTTAGTGTCTCAGGCAAGAGGACACAAATTGAGAGAGGGCTGAAGGACAGTAAAAAGGCAGAAAGCAATCAGACTGTGAAAAGCTTTGTTTGCTATGTTCTGAATTTTTGAGAGAGGTTATAGGGAGCCACCAAAGGATTTAACCAGTGGAATCACAGATTTTCAACATCAAAAGTTCATTTGGAAAGTACCGTGGAGATCAGATTGATCAATCTGTTTTGAGGGGTGCTGAGATTGAGGGCACTGAAGACCAAAGATCAGAGAGATGGCTAGTTAAAGGTCTGACACATGTATACAAAGAGAAAAAAAGAGAACTGCTCTAAGGAGTGGCAACTAGAATTGACAAAGACATATTCCAAGTGTGTGTAAAAGGTTGATGACAGAATGCAGTACATAATAATACAGATGATACACATGTGACTTTTTAAAGAAAATTCTATAAGTGCAAGAATAACTAAAAATGCCTTAAATTACTATGATGATTACAAGAGAGTAAATTATAAAGCATTATAAAACTATACACAAGCTATACAGAAATACATAAAATCAGAGTATTATTTTTACTACACTTTTTCAGTAACTCTTTAACCAAAAATATTTAAATTACAGTAATACAGATCTTTATTTGAAGCACATTCAGTAGAAGGAGCCAGAGAGAAGTCTGTGATCAAGGCAGGGCCTCTCTATGAAAAAACAAAGTTGAAGCAGGAGTCTCATCTGAGTGCATATAAAAGAATAAACGTAAAACTCTTAACCAAGAATCAGGCATAAATAAATCTGACATGAACCAGGTAATAAAAGACTTCCATAAGTGTTCCGAGAACTCGTTTAGTTTATTTAAGTCTCCAGAGTCTCTTCATCTAGAGTATGCATTTAGTTCAGAGAATACAGATAGATACTGGCTGGTAGATCACAAATCTAATGAATCTACCTCATCTAAACAATTCATAGGCCTCTCTCATCCTGCTTCAGGAAAGAAAAAACAAACTGCCATCCTAATTTCATTACAAATAAACATTTCAGACAAAACTTCCTTACATGGGCGAGACCCAAATGCCTATGCCACTCACCTCTAGCAATAATCAGCCTTATCTATTGCCACAGTTTACCTTACATATACTATCAATTGTTATATGGTGCTGAAATGGTTGGGAACCCATCGGGTATAAGCAAAATAACATACAATTTCATATTTTAAAAGAAATTTTGATAACGAATAATATTAAATACATTTCTTTCAGCTTAAAATTCCAAATTTTAATGAAGAACATGTCCACCCCATCTCTAGCCTCAAATGAACATATGTAGGATTATACTCATTAAATTTTTAAAAAACTAAAGTATGTAAAAGCCTCCAACTTTTCATTCTACTCAAGTATGAGATAGAGAACTTACTTGTAACTTGGGTATCATCCAATGCTTTGTATTCTGTACTCTTAATTGCTAGCTCCACACCATACCCAGATAAGTACATTTTCCGTGAGCTTGGTTTCTGTTCAAACACATTTATTTTATAAAAAGAGAAAGCAGTTAGTCAAACATCTTGTTTTAAAGTCAGTACCATGATGTATTTGGACATAAGGGTAAATTACTAATATTGAAGGTTTCTAATCACTGTGAAAAATTTGGTGGTTGTTTACACTGTCTCTAGTCTATCGAGGAACTAGAATTTGGTTAACGACTACTCTGTAAAAACTCTGTCATGACTACTGCTTCAATTACTTTTTAATTTTTACAATTAAGATAAAAAGTATCTGATCTTTTTCTGTTATACCATGTCTTCAATGAGTTAATTAACAGAGGACCAATTACAGACAAGTTTCAACAAAACTGTTCTCCTTTTTGGGGACCCCCAAAAGATTTGCTAAACTGAAAATGCTCTTCACTTGCTGGTTGTCTAGATGTAGGACAACTAGAGTGCTGCCAAAAGCAAATACTGGTAAGTAGTAGCAAACGAGACCAAAAAAAGTTAGCGTCGTGAAATACCGGATTACAGTTTTCTTTATTTTTCAATGATTAAAATATACCAAATGCCACAAACTAATATCTGCTCTTGTAATAAGGGGCTACAGTTCACTAAAACGGAGTTGTCTGAAATGTTTATGATCAGAATTTTAGTACCTTTAATTTTATTCTTTCTAGAGGGCAAATACTAAATGTACGCCTAGAGATTACCTCATCAGGCAAGAGAAGTCACCATATTTTATTCAAAAGGAAGCAACCTGGATGAATACACAGAATAGTTTTAAAGTTGTTCCAGCTTCCAGACTGAAATTCTTGTTGGTGGTACTGCAGCCATTATCATTTGGCATATCTCAACGGGTTAGAAAACCACTTTAACCTAGAGCTCAGCAAACTCCCTGGAAGATGCCATGTGTCTTTGCTTAATTCAGGTTTGCACAGGGACAGTTTTGCATGATAGAAGAAAAGGTAGAGATTGGAGGGAAGGAGAACTTTAGTAATGGGTTATTCTTTGTATTCTCTTCTTTCCTCCCGAAACTTTCTACCAAGCCTTAATGATATGCATATGGCAGAGTGACTGTTCTTTGGCCTGTTCTATTTGCAAATAAGAATATGTAAAAGTTAGCTTCAGATATTCAGACAAGTACTTAACATTGCTGCACACACTAAAATTTAATTTGCTAATTTGTCAGGCCCACATTATATGAAAGATAGCATGTAGAAATTGGGTTGTTTATAATTACAGTAATCTGACAAAGTTGAAAATTTGTTTAGCTTTTTCAGTTTCATAACAGCTCAATTTAAAACTATATTTTGAATTTCTAGTCAAAAGACCAATCAGTTGGTGGCTAAGTGAATCGAAACTATGAGGCCACATATCTTGTTACAGTTCATAAAAGAAATGCAATTTCATACAGTGAATTTCCATTATTAGTTCTGGAAAGTTACTAGCTCCTCAGTAATAAAAATGTTTCCTAAATTCATACTTACTTTCCTCATTTGAAAATGTGTTGATATAAAATTTGAATTGTAGTTTTGTAGTTTAGTAAGTTTGGATTTGCAAACCAAACTACCAATTCAACAGGTTAAAAAAAATCTTTGTTTTTCTATTTATTTTTTCCCCCACAAAAAGGCATGTTAAAAATGTAGCATAAATATGTCTATTTTTATTAGAATTACATGTTCACTAGATTTACATTATAGCTATTTTGAACATAAAAGATGTCATTCATTAAATATAAGGCTATAATTTAATAGTTAATATGATCTCACAGAAGCATACTTAATGGTCACATTCTCTAAAGAATAACTTGAGATAGATTCTCAACAGATGGGCATAGCTCCCCAGCAGCACATTAGAATCACTTGGGAGAACATTTAAAAAAGACAAACAGACAATTAACAACAACAAGGGCTTAAATTGCACAGGTTTACTTATACATAGATTTCCTCCCACCTTGCCACCTGAAACAGCAAGTCCAGCCTCTCCTCTTCCATTTCCTCCTCAGCCTACTCAACATGACTATGAGGATAAAGACCTTTATGATGATCCACTTCTATTTAATGAAAAATATTTTTTCTCTTCCTTATGACTTTCTTAATAACATTACGTATCTAGCTTACTCTGTTGTAAGAAATACAGAATATAATACATGTGACATGAAAAATATGTGTTAATTGACTGTTTATCAGTAAGGCATCCAGTCAACAGTAGGCTATTAGTACTTAAGTTTTAGTGGAGTCCAAAGTTATACATATATTTTTTAACAACATGAGGGGTCAGTATCTCTAACTCACACAAGCTTAAGGGTAAACTGTACTTGTATCTCCCACTCCCACTCCTATTCTCATTTGCCTGTCATCTCTGCCTTACCTGATAGAGAATCATAGCCTTAAGGTGCTACTGTTATTGATGGGAATGTATCCATCCTTCTAGCAAACTCAGTTGGGAAAAATTGAGAATTATTGGTACAAGATAATTAGACAATGTAAAATGTTTAGAGTGCACACTTTAGACCCATGACTCTCTATCCTCTTCTTCTATATTTGTTTTTCTGAAAACACTTTCTTCACTAACATAAATCTGTTTTACATCTCTTGCCGCAAAAATTGAAGTTCTCTGAGAAAAAGGAATGTTTCTCTCTTATTCACCGCTACATGAACCAATGCCTGGCACAGAGGCATCCAAATATTTATGAAATTAATGACTTAAATATGTAATCATTTACGAATTGTACACACACCCACACTTTATATCTCACTTTACAGATAATCTTTATGTAGACTATGCAAATATCTATATGCCAACACACTCAAGAATATTGAAGATTTTCCACTTCTACTAAATAGCAATAACTCACTCAAAATTATACAATGAACAATTAAAATTGAGAATGTGAAGAACACTGAGGGGAAAAAAAATACATTTTATATGATGTTATTGTAGGCCAAGTCCCCGAAAGATCTTGGCAACCCAGCTCTTCCTTGCTTTCTCACTTGTAAATCTCAGAGTAACTGTAGAATGATGTGCTGGAAATGCAAGAAATATGAAGGAATTGCCAGTAAGGCCAAGATCTGTTCCTATTGCTCCTAGAACAGGATGTCTTGCAATGCTTTAGCACAGCTCATCAAGTTGCTCCTAGGTATAAAACCCAGGGCAGAGCAGGCTTTCAGAGTTCCTCAGCCGTGGTGCAACATGAAGGATGTGCACATGAGATTCCATCCTCCTGGGCAGCTATCCTAAGCTTTGGGGGATGAGCTTGCCATGAATCCTTAGGTGTCTACTGTCACTTGCTGCGTATCTGTGAGCAATAAAATTGCTTCCCTAAACTTGTGTGAGTGTTCTGTCTCACCACACTCATGCCAGCGGATTGATACTGGAACACAGTATTGGCAAGGTGTTTTACAGTCCTCCCATGGGATTAATACCAGTGCAAAGTGAACTTGCATCACAAATTATCAAATATATAAAACAAAATTAAGATACTGAAATAAGCTACTTATCTTCTATCACTAGAACTAAGCATGGTGCCCAACTTATAGGCATTTGTGGAAGATTATTAAAAAGGCCACAAGTGAGTAACTCCTTCCCATGTCCAGACTCATTTGCAATGTGACCTTGCCACTTCTCACCAGGAAACTGAGTCTATTTTTCCATTCTTTTGAATCTGGCTAGCCTTGTGACTTGCTTAGACTAATATAACGTGGCAGAAGTATCATCGCATGAGTTCTTGGGCATAGGGCTTAAGAGATATTGCAAGTTCTACTCTTTTCTTTCTGGAACCCTAAGCCATTATGATGTGAAGAATCATAGTCTAACTCTTGGAAGATGAAAGGCCATGTAGAAAAGAACCAAGAAACCCCAGTTATCAGCCTGAACTGCTATACAGGTCTGTCAGAATAACTCGAATCCTCAAGCTCTAATCTAGTACTGAATGACCCCCACAGTATGAACAATACCAGCAGAAAAAGTGCCCCAACTGTCAACCTACAGAATAAAGAGAAATGGTAAGTCAATACTGCCTTAAGCCACTAAATTTTGAGAAGATTTGTTACAAAGCAGTGCAGACACAGACATAGCATCTAATAAATGTGCATGCAGGAAAGAAAGAAGGAAGAGATGACAGATCACCCTAACAAATTTCTAATTCAAAGAATACCTAGTTTCTTCAAAAATAGTAGTAACTTAGAGTTTTTCATCCTCTGCAGTCATATATTACTGCTTTGAGAAGTTATAAGGTAGCTTCAATCAGCCCTAAGAAACTTAAATTTTGGATTCCCCATGTAAGCAGCAAAGCTATGGAATCAAAGCAACTCTAGGAAAAAAAAATTTTTTTAAATTTTTTATTTTTAATTATTATGGATACAGAAAAGCTGCATATATTTATGGGGTATATGTTATAATTTGATACAAACATACAAAATGTAATGATCAAATCAGGGTATTTGGGATATCTATCACCTCAAACATTTTATCATTTATTTGTGTTAGGAACATTCCATTGAAGTCATGGAGACAGAGACTAGAATGATGGTTACCAGAAGACGGAAAAAGTAGTGGAGATGTGGGGATTCAGAGGGGATGGCTAATAGGTATAAAAATATAGTTAGGAAGAATAATATCTAGTGTTCAGCAGCACAATCGAGTGACTATAGTTAATAATTTATTGTATATTTCAAAACAAGGAAAAATAATTTTATAAGCATTACATCCTTATTAAGAGCCACCTAGTTATGACCTCCTCTCTCTTGGAACTAAAATGTCTCATCTTTCTCCTTCTTCAGTGGACAGATACCAGAGGGTCTCAGAAGCATATGCTATATATTCCCAACCAATATGCCAGATCTAATGAAGCAAGATCTCTAGGAGTGAGAACACTTTATTATTTAAAAGAACACTCCAATTGGTGTTGGGGTAGAGAATGAGACTGACAACGGAAAACAAAATAACCTTCAACTTTATTTTTAAAGTTTTATTAATTAAAAAATAAACTTGAAGAAAAGATAAAATGTTAGCTGTCAATTCTGGGTAGTATATACAAAAATGTTTATTATTTTTAGGCTTTTGTATTAGAAAATTTTCTGAAGAAAAAATAAAGCAGATGGAATGAGAATGATAACAGAAGAAAAAGGCGCCTATGGGAAGGTGAACATTTGAATACCTAGGACAGATACCACCAAATGCTAGTGAAGCTGGTAAAGATATTTAGCTGAAATCTATATAGCTTGCTAAAGGCTAAATGTAGGCTAACATGAGAGTGTGAAGCTGGCAGCTCCAGACATAGCAAGGCTGAAACCCTCTAGCACAGGGAAGACTGGGGGAGGTCCTGAGAAAGCTTCTACTCTAATGCTGACAGAGAGAGAGGAAAGAAAATCACTGCTGAAATCCACTTCAGACCTATCTCTCCTACAAAACCAAAGCCTTAATCTTCAGAGGCAAGGGCGACAAAATTGTAGCTATATAGTGCACTGGTGGAAGCCCACTGCAGACAGAAGAAATGGAATAGATGAAAGCCTTAGCCTGAAGGAGGGACAGGAATACCTGCCAGGCCCCACATTCTGAGAGAGGATCAGAAACCTGGAGGCCCAAATTTACAGTCTGCCTAGAAAAGAAACTTAATTAGAACATCAGAGAATATCCCCTTCCTTACCTGCCCCCTCACCTTCACCTCAAGGCCAATCTAACAAGGGTTGAGTAAAGATAACACTGAAATAGAGGTGGGAAAGCTGTAAGAAACACATTCTCTCTGGGGAGCTGTGCAAAGGGAAGATCCAAATCTAAGTGGGAGACCTAAAGTCAAGTGGACAACAAACGTGAAACCCAACCCAACTCCTGACCAGAACAGCTGAATCCTGCAGACATGAAAGGCATGGCCTACACTAAAGGCAGGGTCAAGGCTCCTACACAAAATGTTCAGCTTTCATCAACAACAATCACACGATATCCAAAAAGTTAACAGAACAAAAGCCTGAAGAGACAAATCAACAATTTCAAAATCAGATGTAAAAAAGAGGCTGAAACTTTCAGGAGGGTATTTAAAATAATGATTAACATGTTAAATGCTCTAATGAAAAAAGTAGAATATATGAATGATCAGAGAGGCAAATTCATCACACATATTAAAACTGTAAGAAGGAGCCAAATGGCAATGATAGAAATTAAGAGCACAGTAACAGAAATAAAGAAGGCCTTCAACAGAGTCACAGGTAAACTTGATATAGCCAAAGAAAGAATTGGCTGGCTGAGCGCAGTGGCTCACACCTGTAATCCCAGAACTATCGGAGTCTGAGGCGATGGATCGCCTGAGGTCAGGAGTTCAAGACCAGCCTGACCAACATGGAGAAACCATGTCTCTACTAAAAATACAAAAACTAGCCAGGTATGGTGGTGTGTGCCTGTAATCCCAGCTACTTGGGGGCTGAGGCAAGAGAATTGCTTGAACCCAGGAGGTGGAGACTGCAGTGAGCTGAGATCGCATCACTAGACTCAAGCCTGGGTGACAGAGCGAGACTCTGTCTCAAAAAAAAAAAAAAAAAAAAAAAAAATTTGGTTAAGTACAAGGCAGGTCAATAGAAATTATTCAAATTGAATTTAAGAAGAAAAAGTAGTAGAGAAAGAAAGGAAAAAATCCAAAAAGCAAACAAGAAGAAGAAACTGAGCAGAGGAGCTGTGGGACAGTACCACACGTTGTAACGTAGACATAATCAGAATCCCAAAAGGAGGAAGAGAGTGGAAATAGGAGTGGCAATGATCAATGAAAAACATCGGTCAAGAATTTTCCAAAATCAGTGAACGACACCCATCTACACATTCAAAAAACTTGGAGAACATCTAACAGGATAAATACCTACAAATCTCATATTCAAATGCCTGAAACCAAAGACAAAGAGAAAATACAGACAGCTAGAGAAAGACATATTACACAGAAATAAAGCACAAATGGAATCAACAGAAACAGCAAGGTGACAGATTGTTAAACCAACAATATCAAATCACTTTAAATATGAATGTCCTAACTCATGGGTTAAAAGTAGAGATTGTCAGATTAGGTTAAAAAAGCAAGATCCAATTATATGCTGCCTATAAAAACCCACTTACATAAAAAAATATAGATAGGTTAAAAGTTAAAACAAAAAAAAAAGACAAAAACGTATCATGCAAACATTAATCAAAACAAAGTAGGAATAGATATATTAATTGCAGACAAAATAAACTTCAGAACAGAAAATAATATCAGAGACAAAATGGTAAATTAGGCTGGGTATGGTGGCTCATGCCAGTAATCCCAACACTCTGGGAGGCCAAAGTGAAAGGATCACTTGAGGCCAGGAGTTTGAGACCAGCCAGGGCAACATAGCAAGACCTTGTCTCTACAAAAATTAAAAAGCTGGGTGTGGTGGTGCGTACCTGTGGTCCTAACTTCTTGGGAGGCTAAAGTGGGAGATCACTTGAGCCCAAGAGTTCAAGGCAGCAGTGAACTATGATCGTACCACAGCACTCCATTCTGGGCAACAGAGAGAGATACTTCTCAAACAAAGAGGTAAATTACATAATGATAAAGGGCTCAATTCTATAATGACATACAATGCTAATATGTAAGCATTAATACAAAACTTTGAAACATATGAGACAAAACTGACAGATCTAAAAGGAAACACAGGCAAGTCTACATTCATAGCTGGAGATATTAGCATTCCTCTTAAGGCAACTGATAGAACAAATAAGCAGAAAGTCAATAAGGATATAGATAATCTATGAGCCAACATTACCTAATTAATGTTTAGAAAACATTCTACCCAACAACAGAATACTCATTCCTTTCAAGTGAACATGGAACATCCACGAAAATAAATCATATTCTGAGCCATAAAACAAAACTTAACACATTTTTAAAAATTATACAAAGTATAATCTCAGACCATAACAAAAGTAAACTAGAAATCAATAACAATAACAACAACAAAAAGTGGAATGTCACCAAATATTTGTAAGGTAACACTTCTAAATAATGCATGGATCTCCGGTCCATAGGTTCCAAAATGACAGTGAAGCAAGCAGGTTTCGCTCCCAACCATAGAAAATAAACAAATATACAGTGGCAAGATAGTCACCAGCAATATCCCAGAACTCAAATGAGTATGAGACAGTTTCTAGAGCTTTTCCAGAGAAGTGAAAAAACTCTGAGCAGACAGTAAGAAAGTTGGACTTCCATATCTATGATGCCTCTCCCCACAATCTGCCCAGCACAACTACATGAAAAATTTCCCTGACTCCTAGGTTTCTACACTAGAAAAAATGAGATTCAGGTCAACATCAGCTTCCCCACTATTGTGGGGATCTCTGCAAGGAGACCTGTCCCTGCCTCAACCCATGGGAAACATCATGAGTGCCTAAAGGGAGAAATATGCCTGAGGACAAAGACAAAGAGGAAAGGCAGGACTGCCGTCCCCAGTCTTGGAAACTCTAACTCTGCTCTGTAACTTGAAGAGGAGAGAACACCTCCAAATTCATTCTAGAAGGCCAGCATTACCTTGATACCAAAACAAGACAAGGATACAATGAAAAAAAAAAAACTATATGCCAATATCACCAATAAACACAGATGTAAAAATCCTCAACAACATATTAGCAAAATGAATTCAACAACACCTTAAAAAGATCATGCATCCCAGGGATAGAGGATAGTTCAATATACACAAATCAACATACACAAATCAATAAAACCATATTAAAAGAACCAAGAACACAAAAACCATATAATTTAAATATATGCTGAAAAGGCATTTGATGAAATTCAATATCTCTTTCTGACAAGCCCCAACCCCCCACAACAAACTATGTATAGAGGGAACATACTCAAAATAATTAAGGCCATATATGACAAATCCACAGCTAAAATCATATGGAAACAGTGAATAATTGAAAGCCATTCCTCAAAGATCTGGAGAACAAGACAAGAATGCCCCCTTTCACTATTTTTATTCAACATAATACTAGAAGCCTTAGG